TACATATTTTAAAAATATTTTAAAAAACACAGTAAGAAATAAAAATAAAGTTCCTGCTCACAAAGAACTCACAGTGAAATGGAAAAGATATATAAAGGATAAAAGTGGAGATAATACAGAGGGGAAGGCATTAGTATTTAGGGGAATCAGGAAAGTTTTATTTTAAAAGGTAGGATTTTATCTAGGACTTGAAGGAAGCCAGAGGACCTGGGACATGAAAATGAAACAGACAATTCCAGGCTTGGGGAACAGACAGTGAAAATGCCTTGAGTTGGAGATGGAGTGTCTTGTTATGAAGAACATCATGAAGGCCAGTGTCACTGAATGAGTAGTAGGGAATAGTCAAGTGGAAAAAACACTGGATGTGAAATCAGAGAACCCAGATTACATCCTGGCTTTCTCATTTACTATCTATTTGACCATGGACAAATCAACGAAGTTTTCTGGGCTTGTAATTTATTATCTGTAAAATTATTGACCTAAATTACCTCTAATGTCCCTTCTAGCTCTAAATCTATAATCCTTTCTTTTTTTCTTTCACCTTAAATCCTCTTGCTTTTACATCTCCTAATCTCACTCCTACAAACTAAAGGAACTGTAGACTTGTAGTCCTGAACCCATTTTGACAGACAGATAAGTAATAAAAACCTAGAGACCTGTTTCCCTTTTATAACAGTTACCTGATGTGACAAGGAGACCTCACTAGGTCTGTTATCCAAAAGAGTAAGAGTTTTGGTTTTCTTCAACAACTCAGAATGGGGAGAAATACATTGAGGGTATCCACAAGTCCATACTCCCTACTAGCTCTAGAAAGTTCTATGGTTTTGAGCTCCCTCTAATATTCTGTCCTCAAAGAGGATTCAAGAACTATGCATAATAAATATTTCCTTCACTTTGGAATTCCTATGCATTACTGAGTTCAATGAAGAAATGATATACAATTCAAAAACCCAATAACTGCTTTAGTAATAACTCAGGAAGGAACTATCCATTAAATAGTAAACTATTTAACTAGGACAGAATAGCAAAGTAAATAATAAGTAAGAGTTAAAGCAATAGAATCATTCTCAGACCTACATACAAAAATTAATTTAGCTTTCCAGAAAATGAAAGAGTAAAGAAGGGTAAGGAAAGAAGATTTTTAGGGCCACCTTCTGAGAAATGTCCAGGCACTGCGCCATAAGATGAGGTTGTAATTAGGCTTCAGTGATATCTACCTGACCTGATTACTGGAAGACCTCTCCTAATTTGTTTTGTTTTTGTTTTTTGTCTACTGTACCTAAGTAACTTCGTACAATAGAAAGAGTGATACAGTAGGAGGTGGAGTGTAGAGGTCAGAAAACCTGAGTTCAAATCCCAGTTCTGCTACTTATTACTTATATTGGCAAGTCATATCATTTGATTGATCTGATTGATTGCTTATATTATTTTTCTAGGCCTCAATTTTCCTTATCTGTAAAGTGAAGAAGATTGACCTATTGACTTCTAAGACCCTTTTCACCTCTAAATCTAGGAAATTCCAATTTACTTCCTAACCCAGCAACTCCCTTGATGCTGCTGCTACACCTGTACTTTTCCACCATGCCTGTTGAAACTCCTAAGATCCCTCTTCTATTGCCTCCATAACACTGTATCTGTAGCTTCTCTCCATCTTTGTAGCTACCACCTGACACTACTGAAAATGACTCTCTGTGGCTGCCTTCTGCTGTTTCTTCTTCAGGAGGTGACATTGTTCTTTTAAAGTGAAATTCCAGGGTCCATATACGTTCGAACCAATCACTACATTCTAAACTCTACTATTAGTCATCCATACACTCCTGTAATGGAGTAGCAGAGGCAACTGTAACACTTGGAGAGTCACCCTTTTTCAAAAGATTGATAGATCCTAATTCTTAGTCTTATATCAGGTTAGGACAGCTGAATTCCATTCACCTATTCACTGTATCTGGTTGTTAACAATTTGCTGCTCACATGGTTGGAACCTCCTGAGAAGTCTTGTTGAGGTTAGGGATAAACACTTGTACTCCTTTCCATCTTCCATCATCTCCCTTCTTCCCAATCACTGCTAGGCCATATAAATTTCACTGCAGTGCAAATAAGACTCAAGAATATCCTAGAAACACTTGGAGAGAAAGGACAAATATACATCTCCATCTGTAAAGCGAGGAGGTTGGACTATATGACTTCTGAGGTCCTTCTCAGCTTTAAATCTCTCATCCCATTCATGAACCAATGCCAAGCATGTGAACCAATTATTTCTTCAATAGGTTCTTATTCATTATTACATTAGGTATGGTTAAAAATTTACCTTTAGTGAAATCATCACCTTGTCAATATCATTACTAACTACAACATTTTTAATAATTATAATATATCCTATAATTTATTCATTACCATATAGATATCTTATCTATCTATCTATCTATATATCTATCTGTCTATCTATCCTTGGGTAGCTATGTGACACTGTGGATAGAGTGCTGGGCCTGGAGTCGGGAAGACCTATCTTCTTAGTTCAAAGTTGGCCTCAGACACTTACTAGCTGTATGACCCTGGCCAAGTCACTTAATTCTGTTTGCCTCAATTTTCTCATCTGTAAAATGAAGCAGAGAAGGAAATGGTAAATCACTCCAGTATCTTTGCCAAGAAAATCCCAAATGAGTTCACAAAGGGTGAGACATGACTGAAAAACCACAGAACATACACACACACATACATACGTATATATGTGGATGTATACATGCATGTGTTAAGGATCCAGAATTTTCATAGGTAAATGTCACATTGGTTTGGTAGGACTTTCTATTCTCATTATGACAGTGCTCCACATCCTGTGCTATATAGAAATATAGCAAAGTACCAGACAACAAATGCATATTCTTTGTTACAATTCTACATGTAAAAATGGTCAACTAAATAGCTTCAGATATATGGCTTTTATACAAATATTCAATTATATTTACTCTACCACTGTACAAAAAATGCCTGTATATATGTAAATGTCTGTGTACTGTGTTCTTTTCCAGCTGAAACTATTGAATTAAAACAGTATCAAGGGAAATCATGTGTCTTTTGTAATTAAGTATATAACAGGTACATACCACAGTATATCTCTCAATAAACTCAACTCTTTTTTTTTTGATGGAGAGAGCATACTAGTAAAGAGAGCCTGATACCAAAATTAAGACCTAAAAAATTAAGGTTGAAGCCCCATGTAGTTGTATCAAAGAATTATTATGTCCTATAACCAAATTTTAGGCTTCCTACTAAAAAATAAATGTGCCATTCAGAGAAATGGATATAGATTCTGAGCTGTGGAAAAACAATTATTCCAACAGTGATATACACAAATTTAATAGCACAATTGCCATCATGGTAGACTGCCAAAACTGGCAGCTAATCTACCTGTCTACATAAGAATAACAATCGTTCTATTCATCTCATTCACTCTGCTATTCTCCTCTTCATTTTCCAAGGCTTCTATGCCCTATTTCAATTATATCTGATCACAGTTAACTCAGATATGTATTGGATAATTCCTATACAAATACTAAATACTTTTTTCAGTTGTGTGCTCTATTTTAAACATTCCACAAAGTTATTATTCATTTCTTTCTTTTATGTTACTAACATGTATTAGTAAAATTATGGTTAAAAAGGACCTTAACTATCAATAATTTCAGACATCTTCTCCTAAAAATGGCTAGCATCCTAGAAAGTCAAACTGCTATTCTAATAAATAACCCAATTAAAAGCAATAGGACAATTTTCCCTGATATTATGAAGCTTTTCCTTTTTGTTCCCTTCTCTGGCAAAAAAGCCAGCTGTATTGTTGTTTTTTTTAAATGCAGTTAAAACCTGTTTTGCCTCATGCTTCTTTTTTCTTTCTACACTAAGGGTACTTACTTGAAGATATTATACAATTTTAAATGGCTCTTATGTAATCTTCATCATTGCATCTACTATCTGGCTTAGAGGATGATGTGGTGTGAACAAATACTTCCATTCTGATAATTTATTCCAATTTTCTGCTAAGTCAGCAAAGTCACTTTCTAAATGTGTTTTTAAAACCGGTAACACCAAATACATTTAATGACAGAGAAAATGTTTGGGCATTATAAAGTTGGCTTGTAAGTGATCCTCATATAAGACTTAACCTTCTGGTAACATATTATTTAGGATTCTGCAATTTCCCAAAGGGATTCCTTTGCTGAAGATTTGCTTAAGTATTCTTAAGAAGGGGCCTCAGTAAAGCAATACATTAAAAAGAAATAGGCAATGATAAACAATACCCAATATTTTTACTCAATATAAATTTAATTATCAAAATAGTTACATATACTGCACATATTTTTCTGTCACACACAAGCATGTTTTTCAATAGTCAATTCAGTTAAATTAGAAACTGACTTCTATTGGCAGTTAGTCATTTTAATTACAGTGTGATGGCTTTGCTATCTTGGAAAATAAATCATTCTTCTGCTCTGGAATTCTACTTATTCTTCTGTTTTCCTTCTCCCCACCTCCCATTATGGACAAAAGCAAAACTGCACCTCTATCTCTTCAGCCCTCCCTTGTGGTTCCCATCCCCCTTCTCCCCTCCCCCTTACCATAAATTGCCATTTAAATGTTTAGTGGCCACTGGGTCGATTTAGCATCACAAGGCTATTTACTACCTGCTCCAACACTTAGATATACTAGCTTTTCTAGTAATTTTCTCATTCATAAAATCTAAATACCTGGTAAATACCAGGCACCCATTATAAGACACAAACAACATTAAGCTGCTGAGCTGTTTTACACTATTTTCAGGTGTGATAAGCATGACATCAATTAGTGATACTAGTAATGAAAATAGAGACGTTGCGCAGAGAAAAAGGATAGTTTTTGCATTCATTTTAGCGGTTGGAGGGGCATTTACATGTCATTATCAGATGACTTTAGAATATTCCATTTCAAAAGTTCTTTAAAAAAAATTATAACCTGGAACAGCGACTTACCTTTGTGCGACAGACGTAACCGGGGATGGGTGGTATCTGTTGCATGACCTCCAATCCCAAACTCGAAGAGCAAACCCCCCAGGACCAAAATGATAATGTGCCCAGCGGATGCCATGCTGCTCTCTGGGCAAGTACCTCCCTTTCCTCCGGTCTTCACTTTGGCCGCCGGGGTCGAGAGTTGGAAGGGAGACTTTTCCTTCAGGGGCAGCTCCAACAGCTCTGTCACACACAGGGACGTAGTCCGTTGTCACCAGAAAACACGATCCCCAAGTGCCATTTGTCAAGCTGTGTTTGGAGATGTCACGGGAAGCTTCCCTCTCACTTAGGACAGTTGTTTTCAAGCTGAGAGTACGGGGACACTCCAAGGGAGGAGTTCGGCTTGGGCTCTCGGACCCCAGGAACCGCCTGCAGATTCCCCAGAACTGCTTTTGCAGTCACTTTCTGCGAGGCTGTTCATTCAAAAAAAGACATACATACACACACACACACTCTAGCGCACACTCGCGAGCACCCCCTCCCCAAACTCGCCACCTCCTCCTTGGGGGCTCTTCACAGCCCCTCCGAAGTCAGCCCCTTGCTGCGGCTTGCTAAGCAGCCAGTTTTAATTCACCTTTTCACCTTGGCTAATTAAAAACAAGAAGTGCCATTCTCCCCTCGGAGTTGCGGGATCCACCCAGCGGGGATGCAGGACTGTCAGCTGCTGTGTTTACAGGCAAAGTTCAGGGAGGGTTGAGGCAGCTTTCATACTTGGCTGTTTCTAGGAAGTGTTTCTGGTCCACGTGCCGCGCAAGCAGAGGCTCAGATCCCTGCCTGGTTTGTGGCAAGTGGCCCTAGGTTTTTTTAAGCATCAGAATTCCGAGATGTAAGACTTGTATCTCCTCTTCCCCCCCCGCCCCGCCCCCATTCACCTTTTTTGGGGGGAGGGTGTGCATATGAGAAGGGTGGGGATGAGAAGAAAGGAAAGGAAATTTCAGGAAAAAAATATAATTTAAAAAAGTTGTGAGATGTTTTGTTTGTGGGGAAAGGATGCTAAAAAAAAAAAAGAAAGAAAAGAAACCCACAAGTATTTTTAAAAGCAAAACCTAAAGATAACCCTTAAAGTAAATTGAAATCCAGATTCAGAATAATCCATCATCACTTCTCATCAAACATAATTTCTGACATTTTATATTTGCATATGGGTCCCTGTATATCAGGGTTAACTTTGTAGCAATCAATTTTGGCAGTGGCAAACTAAATACTTGTGGAGAAAAAATACTCAAGGTTATAAAAAAACTATTAGGTCAATGATTACCTCACATACTTTTATGAGTAAGAAAAAAAGTTGGAGTGATAGAAATCTTTTTAACTTCAGCAAAAACAAATCCTGTGTTTTAATCCTACATTATACATTACACTTTACATTAGGGCAAGAACACACACACTCTGGTAAAGTATTTTCTTTCCTTTCTACTAATTGCCCCTGTGGTAAAGATCTTGCCCATATTAAACACATATATTTAAACATAAAGAAACTAAGTTTAATACCTTTGATTCTAACTGCTCTATCCTTCAATAGTTTATTTTTTAAGAGACTGTGTTTGTGTAAATAAACTTAACACAGTAGGTCAACTTTCAATCAATCTCAAAAACCAAACTAAACAATGTGAAGCTGTTGGCATGGAAATGAATGATCTTACTGTGGAGGGGAGAGGGGGAAGAACATCTCATAAAGTGTGAAAAGAGTCTTTAAGAATTTAAGATCCAAAAAAATAAGTATGTAAACAGTAGTTGGAGGGTGGAGGGAAAAAAAATGACCAAGGAATTTTTTTTGAGAATTATATTTTTACTATATGTGTCCAATTTAACAACAAAATGACATAATATATGTGATACTTATCCCATACGTATTATTGCACATCATAATATGGTGTTCACAAAGACACAGAACTAAAGCATTTTCTATTCATTCTTATAAAAATTATATGGGTAGGTATGAGTGCAGTGTGTTTCAGTAAAATGGAAATGCTACCGAGTGCTATAAATAATTAGATTTCAAAGGTCTAGGAAAAGATAACATATTCAAAACATTATTAAACAGTAAAACAACATGAAATGTTTGCAGTCTTTTAAACCTGGGGTGGTCCTTGTAGGAACTTGCATATTTTAAAAGCTAGTCTGATGAGCTACAGACATGAAGACTGCTCTAAGTGTAATATACTGTACCTTGAGAATCCTTGTTCATTTTCTTCTGAAAGTGAAGCAAATTAAAAGCAAATAGCAGGTTTTTTTTTTTTAATTTGTGTTATCTGGCAGAATTCTGGAAACAAATGTGGCTTCTATATCTTTTATCATAATTGTATGATTACTTTGTACAAGTTAAATTAGACCTTTATTTTCTACTGGTTTCATTTAACTTACTAAATTTGTTCATCATTTACATTAAAACAATAAAGTAGTTTCAAGCTGTTTCAGAAGGACAAAAAAAAATTAAACCTTTGAAATGCTAATGTGGATACATTATTTAGAGACTAGGTAGTTACTCAGATCCCTTTTCCATTTTTATAAACTACCCTGTAAATTAATTTAGGACAGCTTGACAAAATTATATTCCAAAATAAAGAGATTTAAAAAACTTTTTTTTTCAGTTCTTTCAAACTATATTTTAGCTCTGTCTGTGTTTATCAGCTCTGTTATTTGCTCACATCTGTTTTGTGCTTCCTTCTGCCATTCACCACCTCACTGTGTTAAGACAACACAAGCATCTGTCAGCAGGAAAACTACCTGAGTTGTGACTATGCAAAGCAATTATACAGTTGGAAGGAAATTAGTCCAATTTCTCATCCAGTGCAAAAATCCTTTATAGAACCTCCCTACAGGTACATAGATAAAAGGGAAAACTATGTAATCTCCTACAAAATGCCCAGCAACCAGAATAATTTAGATCAAACCTCAGGTGCACACAACGGGGCTGCTTCCCCTATGTCTAGGGTGAGGACTGCTGGAGACCGTATATAGCATTCTGCTCATGAATAGAGGAAAGAAGCAGCCAGCTAGTTAGTCAATAAACATTTATTAAGTGCCTACTATGTGCCAGGTACTGTGTAAGCACTGGTGATGCAAAGAAAGGCAAAAGATGGTCACTACTTTTAAGAAGCTCACTGTCTAATAAGGAAGACAACATGCAAAAAACTATGTACAAATAAGCCATATAACAGATAAATTGGAAGTATCGATAGAGGGAAGGCCAGAGAATTAAAGGGGATGAGAAATAACTATAAAAATGGGATTTTAGTTGGAACTTGGGGGAAGTCAGGGCTGCAGATATGGAAACCTTCAAGTTTTCTCTTTTCTTTCTCTCCTCCCCTTTTCAGATCTGGAACCATAATCAAATAAATACTGCTATTGCTACTGGAAAGGATGTCTCAAATCCTCCCATCTCACTACCTCTCTAACCCAAAATATTCCTTCCCTGGGAATCTTTCTCCTTTATGTAAATGTAAGAATTTGCAATCATATTAGAATGCAAACTCCTTAGAGTCATGGACTGTCTTTGCTTTTCTCTTTGTATCCTTGGGGTTTGGCATATAGTGCTTAATAAATAATCTTTCTTCCTTCCTTCTTCCTTCCTTCCTTCTTTTGATTTTTTAAATTTGTTCTTACATTCATCAAAGGCATGAGTCACTTACAATGACAGAGCAGCTGCCTTAGCATACAGTGGACTGAAGGGATCTACCATTAAGTAACAGAGCAGCACTGACAGGTAACCTTGGGAAAATCACTTAACCTCTCTAGGCCCCAGTTTCTTCATCTATAAGTGATTGAGGGATCCAGTAAGTTTATCTAAGCTCCATACCCTATGTTCCTATGAGAGAGAGAGAGAGAGAGAGTCCAGCATTCCTGAGGTAACTATCTGACAGTTTAAGCTTCTGGTTACAACTTCACAATCACTCCTGGTAGTTCTTGAACTATTACTGCATAATCCTGGGGCAAGGTGGGAAGAGTAAATTTCCACTTCCACACAGGAGTGTTCCCCCCTCCTCCCTACCCCCCCATAAAGTACTCCAATTCAGAAGGCTACTCTTATGCAAATAAAGAACTATCAAGTTACTGGTGTCACTAGATGAAAGTTTAAGAGAAGGCCAGCTGTTTCTTCCCAATTGGGTCCAAGGCAAGAAGGAATGAGAAGCTTCTGCTGGGGTGGGGAGAGAATATGAGAATGATTATTGTGTTCCAAAGTAGTATGATACCACAGAAACAACGCTGAATGTATAGTTAGAATGGACGTGGGTTCAAAATTATGCTTCTGACCTTTAGTATTTGTAGAACCATGGGCAAGCCACTTAAATCTTCCTGAGGCTCAGTTGTCCTATCTATAAGATGGGAACAATAGATACTATTATTCTTACAATGATTGGCTGATAAGGTTTTAAAGATAAAATATTATTAAGTCCTTTTCAAATCTTAAAGCATTATACAAATGAGTTATTTTTTATTATTTCAAATGAAAATTCAAAAATCATTTTCTTATAATAGAAAATGGTCATAGGATCTAGAGCCCGAAGAGACTTTGGAGGCCATCTAGTCCAATATCCTCATTTTTCTGATGAGAAAACAGACCTGGAGAAATTAGATGAGTTGTCTATAGGCCCACGGACAGTATTCATCAGAAGTAGTCACTGAACCTCTATTTTCTAACTGTAGGTCCAATGAACTTTCTGCTGTGCTACAGGAATGCTTTTGGCTATATCATAGGCCCTGCCTTCAAAGAGCTTACATTCTATTTGTAACTCTTAAGTAACAGTAGGAATATAATAATTCAGGTACCTCATGGTTTAGGTTGATTTTTGTGGGCTTACCTGAGAACCTAAATATCATTTATAGTATAATTTCTATAAGAAAAAAGCTATTTTTCTAAGGTCTAGATAGCTGATTTATAAATGAATATTTGTAACACAATCAGTTGACAAACTTCAGACTGCCTTTATAACTAGAGTTGCAAATATATTGGATTTAAAGACAGAGGGCTTGGATTTAAACCTTATCTCTGCGTGACTTTGGACAATTCATTCACTTCTCTGGACCTCAGTTTCTTCATTTGTCAAATCAAAGGGTTGTACTAGATAGACTCAGGCTTTCAGCCTCCAGTCTCCCTTAAGGTGATCCACTCATCTGGGAGCCCAATTGATTGAGTATAAGATAGTCCATGTACCATATCATAGCCATCTGCTGACTTTAGATACCAGACCACACTTTATATCCACATACTAGTCAGTGGTCCACTCTGGGCATCAGAGATTTAGAAATCTGATCTCCTCATTTTTACCTTGAAGAAACAGGGCCTCAGAGGTAAAGTGACTTGCCCCAAGTCACACATATTTTAAGTAGAAGAATTAGTCTTTTTTTTTTTCCTTAGGCAATTGAGGTTAAGTGATTTGAATCCTGACTTCAGGGCTAGTGAACTTCACTGCGCCACCTAGCTGCCGCCAGAATTAGACTTCTAATCCAGGTCCTCTAATTTCAAATAGTGTGATAGTCCTTATAACACTGTACTTCACCTGAAGATAAAATATCTGCTTGTGGTTCAGGGTTAATGTAAATAGTAACTGTTTCTCTTTTGGGCAGCAACCAACCTTTTGGGTCTTCCCCTCCCAGTTTGATTTTTATTTTATTATTTTGATTAAAGGGCCATCCCTTGACTCTTCTTAAAGAGGCCTCTTCACTGAATGGACCTTACCTCACTCAAGTGAGAACCTG